ATATATATATATATATAGCGTGATGTTATTTTTAAGTTGACTTTAATAAAACTTTATATATTATCAATTAAATGATAGATTGCATATTAGATAAATTCATTTGTTTTCAAAAATTTTCAAAAATTTTCAAAAATTTTCAAAATAAAAAAATTTCAAAATAATTTTAATAAAATATACGACTTAAAATTTTATTAAATATGAATTAATATGAAATTTATTTGAAAAAATAAATTGTATTTATCATTGTTAAATTTTATAAAATGAAATTTTTTAAAATAATATATTTATTGTAAATCATATTTGAATTATATTTGGCAATGTATTAAAATTAAGAATTATTGATATTTTATCTTTTAATTTTATTACAATATATAATATTATCTGTGAAAAGAAAATATTTCTTATAGGCACATTTCAATTTTATAATCTTTACGATTAATTCTTTATGTTTTTTAAACCTTTCACAAATTTATATTACGAATATCTCATATGATTGAAATTGTTAAAGAATAAGAAGATAAAAATTAAATGTTTTATTAAAGTTTCTTTTAATATTCTTGGATTATTTTGAATATATAAATTAGAATTATAAAACTTTTAGCAAATGCACGACTGATATTGATATAAGTATATCTGAATTTGATGTGTACATGTATATATATATATATAATTTATATGATAATTTGATTTTATGCAAAGATATGACTTCAAAAGGAAAACATTTCGCAACATGTGTTTAACTTTTTTTTATTGTTTCTAAATTAAAATGTAATCTTATCGAGAATTTTGTAAAATTTTTCTTCTATTCATACATTTCTACAATATTTCACATAATTAAAGTACATCGAATATTTTTTTATTAATTATAAGACTTCAATAATTATGCAATTATACTATATTTTATCGAAAAATTAACATTATTCAGTTTTAAATCAATATTAAACGAAATATTATAATAATATATATTATTTTATTATTGATTTAAAGTTGATAATATTAATTCTTCGATGAAATATAATATAAGACAATTCTAAATTATTTTTATACGATTTTTATAAATGTGTTTCACAAAAAAAATATTAATGTATAATTGTTGCGAATTGTACATAATGAAGTATATAACTTAAATAAGATTGTAAAATTATAGATTGTAAATAAATTTTTTGTTCTAAAACATCTTTTAAATATTTTAATTAATAATTAAGATAAAATTATATTATTTTATTGTGATTTTGATATGTACAAATTACATTAAGCTTGCGATATACACATGTATTAGCATATTGCAAATTAATGTAAAATAAAAAACAAAAAATATTAATTCAAAATTAATATATATAAAAAGTTTTATTATTATAATAATATATAATTTTTCTTAAAAATAGAAAAATTTCATATTCCATATTTTTTTGAACTATATTCTTTTAATATCAAATCAAAATTTGTGATATCAAATCAAAATCAAAATTTATAACACTAAAAAAAAATTCTTGTTCAAACTTATAATTTTGTATCATAAGAATATAATTGGAAAAAAGTAATATTAAAAATTTTTCTTGATTATAAAGTAAATAAGTATCTTTTATCAATTTTTTACGAATTTATATTGAAGGAATAAAATTTGAGAAATGAAAGAATGAAAAATTTTTTTAAAATTTAATGTATTTACTTGTTTTATATTTAATAATTATTCATATACACAAAAACTAAATATATTTTAATCATTTTTTAAATCTAATAATGAAATTTAAAATTTAAAATTACAATTTTAAATTTAAAATTTATACATATTTATTTTATACTAATTTTAATAAACTACAAATATATATATACTAAAAATATATACAATATGCATATATAGTATATAAAAACAATGATTATATTATAAAGTAGCAAAAAAATTAAATTAAAAAAATTTATATATTCGTGGTGCCATCTCGCGCTTAGATACTGGAAGTTCTGACTTATTACTAGGAACATAGAATATACAAAGAAGTATTCGTGACGTCATAAACAAAGAAGAAAATTTTGTGTGAGAAAGATAAAAAAATTACGTGCCACAAATTTTATTTATACCGCTTCAATTATTTCTCATTTCGAAGACATTATATTAAAAATTAATTAATTATTGTTTTTTTTTTCTAATAACTTCTTTACTTTAAAACTCGTATGTTAGAACTAAAATTTCAAACAATTTTCTTATAAAAATTTTATTTTTTTTTTTTATATTCCATTTCTTTTAGACTTTTTTAACTTTGAGATTAAATTCTTCTCCAATATTTTAATTTTCTTTTACTTCATGATAGTTAACTTTTATATATACTTTTATTATTTATATATTATAATGTTAAATTCTATTCTTATATGTTGCAGCATTGTAATAAGATTTAGTTAATTGTTATGTTGCAACATATAAATGAATTTATATGTTATAATATAGAAATAATGAATAAATAAATAAATAAATGAATGAATGAATATGCAAACATAAGAAGAGAATGCAACATAAAAAGATTAACTACTATAAAGTAAAAAAAGATTGAAGCACAGCTGAACAATTTAATCTCAAAGTTAAAAAATCTAAAAAAATTAAAACATCAAAAAAGAATTTAACAACAATAATGTTGTTGATAATGTTGAAAAAGAAAAAAAAGAAAACATAAAAAAGAAATTTAACATAACAATTAACTAAATCTAATAAAGCTGCAAAATATAAGAGAAGAATTGAACATCCTAATATACAAAAAGAATAAAAAAAAAAAAATAAAAAGGAAAATAAAAAAAAATTTTTAAAAATTGCAAAAATTGTCGTATGGAAGAATTATTCAATCTAAAAATTTAAAAAATTCAAAGAATTAAATTAAAACATAAAAAAAAAATTTAGCTTAAATGTAATTGAATTAGAAAAGAGACATATATATAAAAAAAAAGTAATATAACAATTAACTGAATAAATCTAACTGAACTTGAACAATAAAAATTGTATATTGTAATTAAATAATTACAAGAACATAAAAATCAACAATTATAAACTACAAATGATTGAATCATAAGGGAAGATGTTTCTCCAAAGAGGACAAGGTAGGGAAAGAATTAAGTATAAGTGCCATCTCTTATTGCTTTTAGAAAAATATTTCTTTAAAGAAATGTTTCTACCTTGCAAGAGATGGTGCTCATGTTCAATTCTTATCTTATTTCTATTCATTTTCTATTCACATTTATTTCTTATTCTCCTCTACGTGTTTCATTAATGAAACGAAAATAAACATTTAAACGAAAT